GGGGTTTTTTTTGGGGGGTGGGGTGGGGGGGATTGGCTAACTTCACTTAGCATTATCTTCTCCAACACCATCCATTTACCTGCAAATGCCATGATTTTATTCTCTTTTATTGCTGGGTAAAATTCCATTGTGTATATATGCCATATTTTTTTAATCCATTCATCCACTGAAGGGCATCTAGGTTGGCTCCACAGTTTAGCTATTATGAATTGTGCTGCCATAAACATTGATGTGGCTGTGTCCCTGTAGTATGCTATTTTTAAGTCCTTTGGGTATAGTCCAAGGAGAGGGATAGCTGGGTCAAATGGTGGTTCCATGCCCAGATTTCCAAGGAATCTCCATACTGCTTTCCATATTGGCTGCACCAACTTGCAGTCCCACCAGCAATGTATGAGTGTGCCTTTTCCCCTACATCCTCTACAACACTTATTGTTGTTTGTCTTCATAATAGCTGCCATTCTGACTAGAGTGAGATGATATCTTAGAGTAGTTTTGATTTGCATTTCTTTAATTGCTAGAGATGATGAGCATTTTTTCATATATTTGTTGATTGTATATCCTCTTCTGAGAAGTGTCTGTTCATGTCCTTGACCCATTTGTTGTTTGGGTTATTTGTTTTTTTTGTTGTTGTTGTTTGTTTGTTTGTTTATTTTTGGTGCTTAGCTTTTTGAGTTCTTCATATACCCTAGAGATTAGTGCTCTATCTGATGTGTGAGGGGTAAAATTTTGCTCCCAGGGTATAGGCTCTCTGTTCACCTCACAGATAGTTACTTTTCCTGAGAAGAAACTTTTTAGTTTGATTCCATTCCATTTATTGATTCTTGATTTTAATTCTTATGCTATAGTAGTCTTATTAAGGAAGTTGGGGCCTAATCCCACATGATGAAAATTAGGGCCTACTTTTTCTTCTATTAGATGCAGAGTCTCTGGTTTAATTCCTAGGTCCTTGATCCATTTTGATTTACGTTTGTGCATGGTGAGAGATAGTGGTTTAATTTCATTTTGTTGCATATGGATTTCCAGTTTTCCTAGAACCATTTGTTGAAGATGCTATCTTTTCTCCAGTGCATGTTTTTGGCACCTTTGTCTAATATAAGATAATTGTAATTTTGTGGGTTAGTCTCTGTGCCCTCTATTTTATACCATTGGTCTACCAGTCAGTTTTGGTGCTAATACCATGCTGTTTTGGTTACTATTGCTCTGCAGTATAGTTTAAAGTCTGGTTTAGTGATGCCACCTGCTTCACTCTTCCTGCTAAGGATTGCTTTAACTGTTCTGGGTCTTTTATTTTTCCAGATGAATTTCATGACTGCTTTTTCTATTTCTATGAGGAATGCCATTGGGATTTTTATCAGCATTGCATTAAATCTATATAGTGCTTTTGGAAGTATGGTCATTTTGATAATATTAATTCTGCCTATCCAAGAGCAAGGTAGATCTTTCCATCTTCTAAGGTTTTCTTTGATTTCTCTCTTTAAGGTTCTGTAGTTTTAATTGCATAGAACTTTCACCTCTTTCATTGATTCCCAAGTATCTTTTTTTTTTTTTTTTTGAGGTTATTGTGAACGGGATAGTTTTCCTTATTTCCTTCTCAGAGGATTTGTCACTGATATACAGAAATGCCTTTGATTTATGGGTATTGATTTTATATCCTGCTACTTTTCTAAATTCATTTACTAGTTCCAGAAGTTTTCTCGTGGAGTTATTTAAGTTCTTCTTTTCCTATACATATGGGATGTGTATACATTTGCTTTGCTATCCTTTAATAAATCTGTGTCTGTGTCTTTTTTTTTTTAAGACAGGTTCTTACTAAGTTGCTCAGGGCCTCACTAAATTGCTGAGGATGGTCTCACATTTGTGATCCTCCTGCCTGAGTCACTGGGATTACAGGCCTGAGCCACCGTGCCTGTGCATTTCTTTGGATGTGTCCTGAAATTCTTTTCAGTGGTGTAAGTCAAGAAACCACCTGAGCCAAGGTGAGGTCCCACTGCCCTCTTGGAAGGATGTCCTTGGACTCCAGTCTGGTGACATTAGGAGCAAAATAATAGCATCAAGTTTACACTATGAAAGGTAGTCTATATGAACAGAAGAATTCTAGTGTTTTCTGGGTTGCTCTGAATAGATTAGTAATGCTTCTGAAAACCTGTCCAGTAACAAGTGTGAGACCAAGGCCATTTGGCTGGCCTCAAGAATGAACCTGGGGATGGGGGTGTAGTTCAGTGATTGAATACCCACACATGCACATAGCCCTGGTTTGATCCCCAGCACCAAAAAAAGAAGAAAAAAAGCAGAAAAACAAACAAACAACAATAACAAAAAGAAGGGGGCAGAAGAATAAAAAAATTGAAAGGATTGTGGTTAAGGGGATGCAACAGAGAAGGAGGACCAAGGACCAAAAAAGTGTTTCTCCCTTGTCTGTGCCTGAATCCAAAGTGAAGAATGCCACCAAGTTTTTTTTTTTTTCCTCACTTAAGTAATTTTATTTTTTTTTTATTTATTTATTTTTGGTACTGGGAATTGAGCCCAGCAACATTTAACCACTGAGCCACATCCCCAGTCCAATTTTTTTTTTTTTTTTTGGTACTGAGGATTGAACCCAGGCCTTGTGCATGCAAGGCAAACACTCAACCAACTGAGCTATATCCCCAGCCCCAGTCCATTTTTTTAAAAAAAAATATTTTATTTAGAGACAGGGTCTCACTGAGAAGTTTAGGGCCTCACTAAGTTGCTGAGGCTGGCTTTAAACTCACAATCCTCCTGCCTTAGCCTACTGAACTGCTGAAATTACAGGTGTGCCCCACCGCACCCAGTTTAAATCGTTTTTATTTGGGTTAAGTAAGCGTATTCTTGGCTAACTAAGAACGTTTTTACTCTCTCTCCCATCTGGAGAGCACCCCTCCAGGAGCTACAGGCATAAACTAAAGGGTAATGATAAAAATAACTTTTTAGAAATTACAACCACCAGGGAAAGAATCTCTGTTTGTCTCATTGGTTGATGAATGTGATTGCATTGACTGTCACTGTTAGAGAACTGGACTGGATCTGAGATGGTCCTGAGTTTGTTATTGTTGTTATTATCGCTATTTTTACTATTATTATTTATTTATTTATTTTAAAAATTGTTTTAAAAATTGCCCTTGGGCTCAAACGATCCTCCTCCTTCAACCTCTCAAGTTTAGCTGGAACTACATATGTTGCATCACTGTGTCTGGCTGACTCCACTGGTGATGTCAGTTTTCAAGGTCCATCTCCACTTTATCTTCTGCTCCACAAGCAGAAAAGCTGATTTTAAAAAAGGGGCCCATGTGCTTCTCTCCCCTTGGCACCAAAAGGAAGTCCAAACCACAGAACATTTGGGCCCTTGTTCATGAAGAATCCACCAAGTCCCACCTCCTACCTACAATAAAACCCAGGGCCACTCATCTTTTCTTAAGCCATTTTTTGACCTGAGGAGGTGCCTGACCTGCTTTCCTAAAAAGTCTCAATATGTGAATAATAAATTTTTTCATACCTCTAGCTGCATGTGTGATACCTTTCATATTGGCACCAAACCAATTCTAGGGATGTGGGGCTCATCATGCTGCCATGGACTAACTACAAAACCCAGCATATCACTTTGGACCAGCAATCAGGAAACATCAGTCTGGTGTCAAAATACATTAAAGACTCTTCTGCACAGCAAGGTTTATAACAACGTGAAGGGAGAACCTACAGAATGGGAGAAATCTTTGCCAGATACTCTTCCAATTGAGGATTAATATCCATAATATATAAAGAACTAAAAACACCAAACAAATAAACAAAAAACTCCAAGGGCTGGAGTTGTGGTCAGGGGTAGAGCACTTGCCTAGTATATATGAGGCCCTGAGATCGAGTCTCAGCGCCTCATATAAACTAAAAAAATACTTTAAAAAACCCCAATAATTAATTTCAATAAAGGGGAAAATAGCCGAGCCTGGTGGCACAGGTTTATAAGCCCAAGTTTGGGAGACTGAGGTGGAAGGATCACAACATCAAATCCAGCCTCAGCAATTTAGGAAGACCCCGTCTCAAAATAAAATACAAAACTGGTTGGAGATGTGGCTCAGTGATTAAGCCCCTCTGGGTTCAATCCCTGGCAACGCCACGCCCCTTCCCCTCATCCCACTCCTACCCCTGCCAAAAAGGGCAAATGAACTAAATACATTTTTAGATTTTTTTTCCTTTCTATTCTCTCTCTCTCTCTCTCTCTCTCTCTCTCTCTCTCTCTCTCTCTCTTCCCAGGGATTGAACCCAGAGGTGCTTAACCAGTGAACCGCATTCCCAGCCCTTTTTATTTTTATTTTTTTTATTTTGAGACAAGGTCTAGCTAAGATACTGAGGCTTCCCTTGAACTTGCAATCCACCTGCCTCATCCTCCCCAGTCACTGGAATTACAGGAGTGAGACACCACACCTGACTAAACAGACACTTTTCTAAAGAAGAAATACAAATGACCACCAAATATATGAAAAAATGTCCAACATCTGTAGTCATTGGGGGAAATGCAAATCGAAACTACATTGGGAGTTTTGGGGATGTAGAATAGTGGTAATGCACTTTTCCTAGGATGCATGAGGCCCTGGGTTCAATTCCCAGTACTTCAAAAATAAATAAATAAAAAATAGATAACTAAATAAAAATTAAGCCTTAGTTAAATTGTTTAAGGTCTTAGCTAACTTCCGGCACCCAAACCTTTGTAAACACAATAAACGTTGACTGTTGACCACAGATCACATGATCTGTGAAACTCCAAAATTTATATGAAGACATGTACTTTCCTCCAAAAATGGATGAATCCCACTAATATGAGTGTGTAGCGTGTCCAGCCCCTGAGGGACACACAAGTGACTTGCACGGGGGGGCCCAGGCCCACAAAAGGGTGCGCCCCTTTATAGCTTGGGTCAGGAAGCTCCCTTAGGCTCCGCCCCGCCCCCCCGCCCGTCTCTGCTCGAGATCGTCGCCAGCGGGCGCCAGAGTACCCGGCCTGGGGTCGGAGACAGGGACTTGGGAAGCCCGAACTCCGAGGCCGCCGCGCGGAGGCGGGGGCCTTACGGCCTCGGCTGGGACACCGGCCCCCGGCTCCCGGCCGGCGGGTCTCGGGACGGCGGGAGGGGGCGCTGCGATCTTGGCCGCGGCCTCCACCCGAGCCGCGTGTGGGAGTTGCGATGTCTTCCCGGCCGGGGCGCGACGACGCGGGGGCGCGGGGCGTGCGGCGGCAGCGGGAGCCGGCGGAGCAGGAGCTGCAGCGGCGGCGGGAGCAGAAGCGGCGGCGACACGACGCGCAGCAGCTGCAGCAGCTCAAACACCTGGAGTCCTTGTGAGTCTGCGGGGCGCCTCCGCCCCTCGCGGGGAGGGGGCTGCGCGCCAGGCCGGGCCGGGCGGTCCCTGCCCTCTGGGCCGCGGCCGGAGCCGGGGACCCGGCGACGCGGGCCTGCGCGTCAGGCCCCTCCTTTGCGCGAAGAGTGGCGGCCCCGGCGCCCGGGAGCTTAGCCTCGTTCTGGGAGCGGCAGACCCGGGCCCCGGAGGCACCTCCCGCACACATGGAGGGCGGTGTCGGCTCCGGGGAGGCCGCGCGCGTGTCCCCGCCGCCGCCAGGAGGAGCCACGTCTCGGGGACGCGGGCGGCGTGGTGGACCGAGTGACGAACACGCCCCGCCAGGCACTTTGGGGCCTGTGGTGCCTCGTTTCCCTTTGATGGCCCACCGCGAAGGGGCGACCCCCGACCCTTCATCCTCGGCCGTTAAGAGGGAAGAGGAGCCCGGGGCATGTCGCTGTGCTACGGGGAGGAGACTGGAGACCTGAAGACTCGCCCAAGAGCTGGCCTTGAGCGTCCCGAGGCTGGCGGCGGGGTCGGCGAGGGTGGCGCCTCCGCAGTCCTTCGAGTCCCGGCCGGGTCCAGACTCCAGAGGCCTCCAGGAGTCCAGATGACCTGGAGAGCGCGGGCGGCAGAGGAGAGTCAAGTGGAATCTGAATCTGCCCTTCTAGGTTCTTTGAGTGGGCTCCGCCACATGGGCATAAAACACTCTGAGAAGGGAAAAGCCATGTTAGTTTAGAGACGCCAAGAAAGAGCCAGCGAAGCCGGGAGGCTGAGGCTGGAGGATCTCAAGTTCCAGACTAGACAGAGCAACTTACCTTGCCTCACAATAAAAAATAAAGGCAAAAGGGGGTGTAGTTCAGTGGTAGAGTGTCGCCCTAGAATTTTATCCCCAATACCTGGAGAGAAAAAAAAAATGAAAAAACTACGGGATTGGGTGTACCGCAATGTTAGAGCACTTGTCTGTGAGCCTGAAGCTTTGGTTTCGCTCTCACGTGCTGCATCAGGGAGCTGAGAGTTCTTTTTTGAGACAGCATTTTCATATGTTGCTCTCCGAAACAATCCTCCTGCCTTAGGCTCAGCAATAGCTCTACTACAGGTGTACACCACCACTTCTAAATGTTTGAATATTGCCTTTTTGTGGACATTCTCTTATTTTGTCAATATTATATCTAACTGAATTTTAAGGATTACCCATTAGTTTTCTTTTTTCCTTTTATGATTTTCTTCTACCTTATCGCCTGTATCTTCTCTGCTTTTTTTTTTCTTTCTTTCTTTCTTTCTTTTTCTCTTGTGGCATTGGGAATTGAACCCAGGAACACTCTACCACTGGGCTACATTCCCAGCCCTTTTAACCCTTTTTTCTTTTGAGACAGTTCTTCCTGAGTTGCACAGGCTCTAAGTTGATCTGCAACTTGTGATCCTCCTTGCCTCAGCTTTCCTAGTAGCTGCAGTTACACGCATGTACCACCATTCCTTGCTCTTTGCATTTTCTTTTAGTGTTTTCAGGTAGAGGTTTAATTCTAATATGTAGGGATCCTGGGGTCTCCCTCATATTTTAGAGTGAAGCTCCATAATGCCATTTGGAAGGGGGCTGTTAAGGAGAGAAATAAAGCAAAGGTCCTAAACTGATGACTAGTGAGTTTCCCTGTAGAGAAACCAAACTGTAATCTCCCCTTCTTATGGGGAAACCCCCACATTTCAGTAAATAGAGCTTTTTCCTGGGACCCATTTGTTTCAAAGACTAAACTAACAACCTTATGTCTCAATGCCAGAGATGTGCCTGGCTGCCAGTGTTCTGGGACAGGGGAAGGAGCAGAGCATTGCAGAGTTCACACTAAGACTCAACAGGTTTTCCAAGTGCTCAGCCCCATTCTCAGATCTCCAGTATTCCTATGCAGCTTGGCCTCTCCAGTTCTTTCTCAGAGGATTCAGCCTGCAGTTTCTTTCAAGGGTTGGGCAGTTAGATCTCCTGAGGCAGTAAAGAAAGATAACACTGGAGGCTTCAGCCCCTCCCTCCCAGCTCCCATCTTCCAAATGTTGTAACAAAGTAGCTAATCAGACATTTTCCATGGTCTTACCAATTTTTTCTTATAATTCTTCTCTGCCCTTTTTCTCCTCCCATGTTTTCTTTGTGGCTGCTTACTTATAGTTTTACTGGAATTTTAAGGGGGTTTAGGGAGGGAAAGTAGATAAGCAAGTTGGTCACGCCCCATGTTATTTTATTTCCAAGTTTTTTTTTACTGGTGCATTGTAGTTGTACATAAAGATGGAATTTGTTAGCCAGGCACAGTGACACACACCTGTAATCCCAGGGGCTTGAGAGGCTTAGGCAGGAGAATTGTAAGTTCAAAGCTAGCCTCAGCAATTTAGCGAGGCCCTAAGCAACCCAGTGAGACCCTGTCTCTAAATACAGAATAGGGCTGGGGATGTGGCTTAGTGGTCTGGTGCCCCTGAGTTCAATCCCCAGTACCCCAGGGAAAAAAAAAAAAAAAGGTAGGATTTGTTGTTACATATACATGCATACAATATAACAAGGTAATTTGTAGGCCTCATTTTAATGGGATATCTCATAGTGAGGTTTTTTAAATATCTTTTTAAGTTGTAGATGGACACAATACCTTCTTCTTTTTTTTTTTTTTCATGTGGTGCTGAGGATCGAACCCAGTGCCTCACACATACTAGGCAAGTGTTCTACCACTGAGCTACACCCCCAGCCCTCATAGTGTTTTTTTATAAAATTCAAGACCTTTTTCTCTGTGATGATTCCTCTTTAGGTCTCCCTACTCCACTCTAGCCTTACTCTACATTCTAAAATTTGATCTTACTTTTTTGCCTTTTTTCATACCTGCCAGGTTTTATAAGGCATCTGTTTTCACCCAGTTTCCAACTCTGTAGGAAACAGCTGCAGATACAACTGGGTGCAATGGAATATGTTTTTCAGGGAGGACCCCTCTAAAAGAAACCGTATCCCACCAACAGTATTTTAAAATAGCTGGCAAAATAAGGATTTCTCCCCACATACTGCCTTGGAAGAATACATTTACCTCCTGTTATCTAAATTTAATCTTCCCCTAAGAGCAACTTACTAGACTCTAAATAATTTAATAGTAAGTTTTCTTTACAAATCATGCAAAATAATGGACTCTCTTTTTTTAAGAACTGACTTCAAAGATAACAAAGATCTTTCACAGTCAGAAGCCATAATGTACAATAAGCTCATGTGTAGTTGGACACAATAACTTTATTTAATTTATTTATTTATTTTTATGTGGTGCTGAGGATTGAACCCAGGACCTTGCGCATGCTAGGCGAGCGCTGTAACGCTGAGCCACAACCCCAGCCCATTCCCAACCCTTTTTATTATGAGACAGGGTCTCGTTTTTGCCAGGCTGCCCTTGAACTTGCTATCCTCCTGCCTCTTGAGTCACTGGGATTACAGGCATACACCAGTGCACACAAACTCTTTTAGGTTTCTATGCATAAGGCATAGCATTAATATTTCTGGTTAGTGGCTTCAGATGGACTGTATCATTTTCCCATGTTATATAGGTTTCTATTCTTGCTTATCATACACCACAGTTTTCCATTAGAAACACAGTTTTCCATTAGAAATTATTAAGTATTTGCTATAGAAAAACATTGTACTATACCTAAACAGCTAATTCTTATACCTAGTTATTTACTATGTATTCTTCAGAGGCTAAGTCGTCCTTTACCCCTTAGCAAAGCTCTGGGTAAATGATGGTGAGGGTTTGATCAGTCCTTTGGAAGGCTCCACAGATGAAGCCATTTATAACATTTCTCATCCATCAGCTGGCAAAAATTTTTTTTTGGGGGGGGGGTACCAGGGATTGAACAAAGGGGCACTTGACCATTGAACCACATCCCTACCCTATTTTGTATTTTATTAGAGACAGGGTCTCACTGAGTTGCTTAGCACCTCACTAAATTGCTGAGGCTGGTTTTTGAACTTGTGATCCTACTGTCTCTGCCTCTGGAGCCGCTGAGATTACAGGTGTACGCCACCACACCTGGCAGCAAAATTCTTTTCTACTACACATTGGCGATGAACAACAGGTTCGTTCTCCCTAATCACCTCTGATATTTACTCTGTTCAAAAAGTTCTTTAGGGGCTGAGGCTGTGGCTCAGTGGTAGAGGGCTTGCCTAGCATGTGTGAGGCACTAGGTTCAATTCTCAGCACCACATATAAATAAATGAATAAAATAAAAGGTCCATACATCTAAAAAAATATTTTTTAAAAAAAGTTCTTTAAAGTCAGGAATACATAAAGTACATAAGGAGTTCATAAAGTCAGTACATAAGGATGTTATAGAATCAATGTGTCCCCCAAAGCTCACATGCGGAAATTTAATTCCTAGGGCAACAGTGTTGGGAAGTGGAGCCTAAAAGAGCATTAGGTCATGGGAGCTCTGCTTTCATGAATGGGTTAATGACCTTATCTTGGGAGTGGGACAGTTAGAAAAGTTTGGAGGCCCTCACTTGCTCTCTATTGCATGTATGTTCTTTTATCCTTCCACCATGGGATGATACAGCACAAAGGCCCTCTTCAAATGTGGGCCCCCTCAGTCCTGGACTTTCCAGCCTCCAGAACTGTAAGAAATACATTTCTGTCAGGTACAGTGGCACATGCCTGTAATCCCAGCAAGTTAGGAGGCTAAGGCAGGAGGATCCCAAGTTCCAGGCTGGCCTCAGCAATTTAGTGAGACCCTATCTTAATATTAAAAATAAAAAGGGACTGGGGATGTAAACTCAGTGGCAGAGTGCCCCTGGGTTCAATCCCCAGTGCCAAAAAGAAAGAAAAGAAAGAAGTTTCTTTTTCTTAAAATTATCCAGCCTTTGGTATTCTATAATAGCAGTAAAAGTGGATAAGACAGTCAGTCATGATGAAGAAAATATTAAAACATTGAAATGATTGGTTCCCTGGAGATTTGGAGGGTTAAGGCACAGATCTAAGCTAAAAAATAGTTTATGTTTTACTTTTGAGGAAGCGATATGACTCTTTTAGAGCCTGAGAGTTGTTCTTTGTGCACATAGAAACAGCCTGTAGAAAGCCCTTTCCTTCTGGCCTGATGTTCTCCAGCTTATGGGCTCAGCCTTCTGGTCCCTGGTTCAGTCCCTGTCTCATGGGGAATAAAGGTTCCTTGACATGTACATAAAAGTATCCCAGTTGATAAAGGTTGTCTAGGAGCAACTCTTCTGATACAAAGACACCTTTATTACCAATTTCTGTTTCTTTAATCCTGCTCTTAGCTACCCATCAGACATTTGCTGCAAATGTGAAGAGTCTAACCCAGGTGTGGTGACACAAGCCTGTAATTTCAGGCTGAGGCAGAAGGATTGCATAGTTCAAGGCCAGCCTGGCAACTTAGTGAGACCCTGTCTCAAAAAAAAAAAAAAAACAACTCCCCACCTTACCGGCCCCCCACCCCTCCAAAAAAACACTTATTAGAATCTGGTGGGGTTTTTTTGTTTTGTTTTGTCTTAGTTTTTGTGTAACAGGGATTGAACTCAGGGGCACTCAATCACTGAGCCGAGCCACATCCCCAGCCCTATTTTTGTATTTTACTTAGAGACAGGGTTTCACTGAGTTGCTAGTATCTCACTTTTGCTGAGGCTGGCTTTGAACTAACAATCCTCCTGCCTCAGCTCCCGAATTTCTGGTGTTATAGGCATGTGCCACAGTGCCCAGCTTCCTGGTGTGTTTTGTGCTCAACCAGTGACAAACATGATACTAGAATAATTCTTGGATTCCAGCTGCACATCTACTATCAGTCCTGTACAGGTGGGGCTTGACATGGGGCTGGCATGTGGGTACTGGGCAACAGCTTTGGAACTACCCAGCTGCTTCACTCTGACTGGCCATGTGCCTAAACCTTCAACACATGAGCCTCATAGGACATTTCAGATTCAAATTATAACACCACCAAACCAGTAAATGTTCAAAGACCTACACCCACTCATGTGGTCTGTCAGTATTTATACATGGGGAAAAAAATGACAGGAGAAACCACTTGATTGGTTATAGGTTGACATTAGCCTTAGATGAACATGTTTTGGGAGTTTGTACTCTGTGATTAGCTGAAATCTTGGCTGCTTTGATTGGCTAAGAATCAGCCACTTGTTTTTAGAATAAACTTTCAAGTTATGTTGCAGTTTGTTTACATATTAAGTTAGGTTACAATTTACTCTGTACAGAGAGGGAGCTTTCAGCCAAATTTATTTTAACAGAACTCCAGATGTCATGAGGTCTGCATGTTATGTAAGCTATCACATGTTGGCATATAATTGTAATATCACCTTAATATATTTTTAGCATCTATAGAGTTGTTTTAATAGCTCCCTTTCCATTGATATTAATTTTTGTGTTTTTTCTTGATTAGACTTGTTAAGATTTTTATCAACTTTTTAGCTTTATTATTTCTTTTCTATTTCATATATTTCTGCTTCTACTTAGTTTTTCCTTCCTGCTACCTAGTTTGAAACTAATTTGATTGTTTATCTTGCTTTTTTTTGGTACAAGTACTTTAAGTTATAAGTGTTCATCTGAGTATTATTTCATTCCAGAGATTCTGATATTTTAAACTTTATTATCTCATAGTTCAAAGCACTTTTTATTTACTTTTCTTGTGCTTTCTTCTTTGACCCATGAGATATTTATAAGTGTGCCATTTAATTTTGAAGTAGTTGAGACATGGAGGTGGGGTTCTATGTATTTTAAGGTGATTGATTTCTAATGTAATAAATCATGCAGGAAACAGTCTGCATGATTTCAAATGTTTTAAATTTCAAAGCTTATTTTGAATATAGTCTATCCTTATTAATTTTCTACTTGTCATTTTTGTGTATAGTTCTCTATAAATAACAAATAGGTAAAGGTGGCTGATAATGTTTTAATCCTTCTATCAAGACAGGGTCTTCCAGCAAAGTGAGGGGGTTTAAAATCTCCAAATATGATTGTGGATTTGTCTTTCTAGTTTTATAAATTTTTACTGCATGTATTTTGAAATTTTGTTATTAGGTATATACACATTTAGGATTGTTATACTTTCTTGAAGAAGTTATCCTATTATGGTTATGAAATATTCCCCCTTTATCTCTGAATATCTTTTTCTTGAAATTTTATATTAATAGGTCTACTTCAGATTTCTCATGCTTACTTTCCTCATTTTTTGCTTTTACCCTATTGGTGTATTGGTATTTAAAGTGAGACATATGTATAGAGCATATGGTTATTGCTTGATTTTTACAGATGTTGAATATTTATATCTTTTTTTTTTTTTAGTTGTAGTTGGACACAATGCCTTTATTTTATTTATATATTTATTTTTTATGTGGTGCTGAGGATCGAACCCAGTACCTCGCACTTGCTAGGCGAGTGTTCTACTATTGAGCCATAACCCCAGCCCCAAATATTTATATCTTTTAGATTACAATATCTACTTCATTTATGCTTAATTATTGATATTTTTTAAAAACTTGACATGAAAGTCAAGTTAGTGGAAAATTGGGTAAATGATAGGTTTCATAATAGAATATTTCTAGAAAACAGGTTGATAGTTCTGCTGTCAGGCTCAGAGAAGATTGTTGGAATGGTTTTGTTACAGTTGTTCATTCTCTCATTTATCATATGTACACAGTAGCAGATTTATTTTCTTGTTTGTTAACACTTTATTTTGCAAATAAAAATTCTGTCATCAGAAAATAAAAACAACAACAAAATACATGTCATGAGGTCTGGGTAATTGTCCCAGTTCTACCTCTTAAGTGTATAGATCAGCTTTACCACTGGGATACGAGGTCAAAGCCTGTGGGTCACCCTCTGCTTCTTTCTTTCTTTCTTTGGTACCAGGGAATGAACTCAGGGTCTTCAATCAGTGAGCCACATCCCCAGCTCAATTTTGTATTTTATTTAGAGACAGGGTCTCACTGAGTTGTTTAGTGCCTTGCCATTGCCGTGGCTGGTTTTGAACTCGTGATCCTCCTGTCTCAGCCTCCAGATCTGCTGGAATTACAGGAATGCGCCACCTCACCAGGCACCCTCTGCTTGTTCTGAGGCTCTAACAAAATAACTTAAAGAAAAATAAGACATTTAAAATTTTTTTCTTTAGTTGTTTATGGACCTTTAGTTTTATTCATTTATTTATATGTGGTGCTGAAAATCGAACCCAGTGCCTCACGCACCGAGGCAAGTGCTGTACCACTTAGCCATAACCCCAGCCCAAGACATATTTTATGAGGCTTGGAGAAGATGGGGGTAGACTTGTCTAAAAGCTGATATACCCACTCCACAGCCAGAAGTGAAACAAAGTTTTCTAAATCATAGGCCAGAAAGGTCATAGTCCAGCAAGGGACATCTGTGGAAAGTTCACTACATGTGTAAATGTATATAGAATGAAAAATAAAGGTCCCTCCTATCTATACGTAGTCATATATAATGTCCCTTTTCCTGTACCAAGTACACTGTTTTGCAGGTACTACTTTGTAGACCAAACTATTATGGAGATGATTATCCTATTATCAGTATCTAGTTCATTCTTTTAACATTTTTTAGTGTTTTTCTGATGATCAGATTTAATATTTCTGTTATGGAAACAGAAAATCATCACTCCAGCTTTCATTACTTGTTCAGCAGTTTGGGGGCTCCCACATTTCCAACTTTATCTAGAGTCTAGATATACTCTTAAGGCAGCCTCAGTGCCCTGATAGACCTCTTTCAGTAAAATGTTCCACATGGAGGCATTGAAGAGACCTGAGTCATACCGTAGTTTTGCCTTCTTTCTTCCCTTTTTATATATTTTTTTGGTCCATTAGGCATTCGTGACTAAACACTAACACCCACGCTGTGTTTGATAGCGTGTGTTTATGTGTCATTACTTAAAAATGAACACGAGCATCTGGTGCTGATTTTCTAAACATAGAATCTAGCAGCCTTTTCAGGCTGTTTCAGCAGAATGGTGAAAAGTGAAAATGAACCAGGAGCCCAGGCCCTGGTGGTCCCAGAGCTTGTTGGTGAATAGAAAGAAGGCCCCACAGTAGACTGATATAGCAGTGATGGTCCTGACTGTACCCCATGGATGGGGCACCAAGCAGTGGTCCTGCAGGCTAAGTTCAGGGTGGTCAGCATAGGAATGGAAGGCTGTCAGAGCTGAGAAGTTGCTCCTGATGGCTCTGTTGTGGGGTAGGTAGAAGCCAGGGCAAAGGGGCCTCTGGGACAGAGGCCCTAACTGTGCTGGAATACGTGATTGCCTTTCCCCCAAGAGCCCGTTCCTTGTTGAGTAGTGGATGTTATGCTGGGTGGGCAACCTGACAAAACCACCCTTATGTTCTGGAACCAGACTACCCCATAGTCTTCCTACTTCACTTTCTTTCTACAATCTCTTTCCCTTTTTCCAAAATAAAATCATTATGGTGGGATAATGTTATTATTTCAGTGAATTTAAGATGTAGTTCTCTGCAGGATCACTTTATTTACATGGGATCTTCAGTGCTGAACATATTTTATTAACTGATATAGAAAGAATGTAATTTTAAGTTTTTACTACAAATATCCTTTTATTCTGACCTGGCAGCTACCTGTAGCTCAGTGAAGTGTTATGCTCCTATTAATGTGGTTAATGAAGTTTTGCTTCTTGTTTTTTCTTTTTTAGCTATGAAAAACCTCCTCCTGGGCTTATTAAGGTTAGTGTGAAGTTTTTACTCTGGTTATTCTGTGAAACATACTTAACACACTCAATAACTTGTTACGAAAAATGTCTGTATAGGTTTTAAATCTCCTTTTATGAAAATAACTGTTTCTTCCCTGCAGATGCCAGACAGGTCCTAATTTGGGGCCTTGCGCCTCTGTGGAAATTTCATCAAATGTGTTACCTTCCCTAGAGAACCAGCCAGGCGCAGCACGTGTGTGTGCAGGTGTGTGTGTGTGTGTGTGTGTGTGTGTGTGTGTTCATTTGTTCGTATGTGTTTGTTCCTGGGCTATAGCTCCCCTTCTCTCACTGGTTGCACTGCTGCCTCATTTTCCCTGCCTACCTTACCTGGCCAGCTCCTCAGTACACCCCATGCTGGGGTCTTGAATATCTTCAGCTCAAAGAGCAGCCTCTCAGGAGACCTGAGAGCGCATCTACTCCAGCCTCCCTGAACAGGGACCCATCTCCCAGCTCCGTGGCCACCCTGTCAGGGTGTTTCTCTGCATGAGGGAGACTAGAGTAGTAGGTGAAGCCAAAAGACCTCTTGTGATTGATAACTTTCTTTTTTTAGGTTGGGAGGGTACTAGATTGAACTCAGGAGTACTCTCTCGACCACTGAACTATATCCACTGCCCTTTTTATTTTTCATTTTGGTCTCGCTAAGTTGTTCAGGCTGGCTTTGAATTTGTAATCTCCTGCCTCAGCCTCTTAGGTAACTGGGATTAGGGATCACAAATGTGCACTGCTGTGTTGAGCCACAATGAACTGTTCTAATATAAAATACTATCCTATTATTACAGAAAACCTGGTTTACTTTTTTTTTTTGGTGGTGGTGGTGGTGGTGGTGGTGCTGGCGTTAGAACCCAGGCCTTATACATGCTAGGCACTCTACCATAGAGCTGCATGCTTCCCCCACTTCAATTTTATGCCTTGTCTGATTCCACACATTTTGAGGGAATGAAACCTTTTTTTGATCTTTGCATCTAATTTACATCAGAATGTGTCTCTCATAAATCATTCCTGTGTGAAGGACATACTTGTGCTTTCCTATAACTTTCCTGCAGTAAAGTTTGGTTTTGTTTTATGCAAAAAGTTGTTTTTTTGGTGTAGTTCTTCTCCTACATTGATTTCCTGTTTCTCCTACTGTAATGGCAACCTCTCCTCCACAGAAAAATCTTACTTAAGCTTCTCCAGAGACCCTCACCATAATTGTTCTTAGACTGTCAACAGAACTTATGCAAAAGGATTTTCAGGGGGCCGGGACTGTGGCTCAGTGGTAGAGCACTTACCTAGCAAGCATGAGGCACTGAGTTTGATCCCCGGCAACTCATAAAAATAAAAACAAACAAAATAAAGGTATTGTGTCCATTTACAACTAAAAAGAAAAAAATTTTTTTTTTTTTAATTTTCAGGTGGGGGGTATACTTGCAGAAGCAGAGTTGATAAGTAAGACTAACCCAAGGCCTTCACAGAGGCGTTTGCTTTGGCTGGGAAGCCAGCTGACAAGAAATGGGGAGGGAAACTCTCCCTTTCCCAGGCACTGATTTTCAGAGTGTTCTTGACCTGAATTGGTTGCCCAGAAAAAAAAAAAAAACTATTGTTATATGGAATTCTGCAGATTATGAGCCTCTGAGCCTGTCCCCCTACACACTGGGTATAAAGTTCTAAAATTTTCTGAACTCTGGGTTCAGAGGGATTGATGGACTATGGCGAAAGCCCCCCTTTTGAATCTGGCTGCAGCCAATAAACCTGCTTCCTGCTAATTCCTCAGTGTCCAGTCTCATCTGTCCCATCTATCAGGTATAATTTGTCTTTCTCTCTTGTTCATGGGGATGATTGAAGATGACATTGGGACCAACTGCAGAAGAGAAAGCAAGGCAATATTGGGTTGCTAGGAAGGAGGGACAAACTTCTAATGCTTTGTTGCCATGTTGTTTACACATTGTTTCCTTCATTTAGGAAGATGAGACTAAGCCAGAAGACTGTATTCCTGATGTACCAGGCAATGAACATGCCAGAGAATTTCTGGCTCATGCGCCAACTAAAGGACTTTGGATGCCACTGGGGAAAGAAGTCAAAGTTATGCAGTGTGAGTGTAGAAGAGTTTAAATAACACTCTCATAATATGCAAGTTACATACTACAGTGTACAAAGTGTGCAACAGCCTTAGGCTGTAATGTTAAACAACTGCAAGTGATTATTTTCAACAAAGATCTGGGGATCAGGCTTTTCCTATAAAGTGAAAGACATGACCAAATAACAATACTGTGTATAGATGTTCCCTTCCCAGGCAACTGTGAGACAGTTCAAATAGTGACAGTGATCTCGGTAATAGTCTTTTGAGGGGCACAAAACCAATCTGATCCCTGGATGTTGGCATTGTTGCTGATTTTTACAAAACTAGAAAAGAATGAACACTGGGAGTAGGCCCACTTCAAATACTAGAAATCTATTATTCTCACTGTGGTTCTGTAGTTTCCTTAAAATGATGTTTATCTGATTGGGGCAAGCCTTTGATTAACTTACAGAGTTTATAAAATTGTTGTGGTCCAATTTGTAACTATATTTTCATTACTTTTAAGAAGGAACAGATTTATACACTTGAACATGCTTGAGAGACCTCCTGGTACATTATCGTGTAAACAAATTTCCTTAGTTGTCATGTTTGTGGAATCTCAGGAAGGGGAAGAAAGCAGATGAGTATTTGTCATCATCCAGAAGTTTATAGCTTTTTTAAAAAATTTAATTAAATTAATTAATTAAAATTTTTTTTTAAAGAGAGAGAGAGAGAGAATTTTTAATATTTTTTAGTTTTCGGCAGACACAACATCTTTGTTTGTATGTGGTGCGGAGGATCAAACCCGGGTTGCACGCATGCCAGGCAAGCTTGCTGCCGCTTGAGCCACATCCCCAGCCCAATTTATTTTCTTAATATATATTTTTTTAGTTTAGTTGGACACAATACCTTTATTTTATTTATTTATTTTTATGTGGTGCTGAGGATCAAATCCAGTGCCTTGAACATGCTAGGAGAGCATTCTACCACTGAGCCACAAACCCAGCCCCTATAGCTTTTCTTTAAAAACTTAAATACCACTTCTCTGTGTAATGAGGTGGGTTAGTTGTATTTCACTTATATTTTTTTAATTGAGAAGTTAATGAAGCATAAGCTTTAGTTGCCCTGACATTTTTTTTAAAAGGCCTATCGGGACTTCTTTAATATGTTTGTGTGGTTATATGATGTTGTATAATTTTCCAAGGGAAGATATTTTTGCATTTGTTTCCTAAATAGCCCTTCTAATCCCCCCCTTCCTCCTCACAGTGATACAAGGTTCAGGTCTCACAAAACTTAGATTCATCCCAGATGGGAAAAAAGGTGCACGCGCGCACACAAGCACATACATGTACACACTTTCATTATATTCACTGATTCTGGTGTTAACTCTAAAGTTTTCTCACCCTTTGATTTGTCTGCAAATCAACAATCTTTTTGTTGTTGTTGTTGTTGTTGTTACTGTGGATTGAATGTAGGGGTGTTTTACCACTAAGCTATATTCCCAGTCTCACGAGTCACTGGGATTTCAGGCAAGCACCACTGTGCCTAGAAAGCAATTAATCTTGTAAAATTCAGATTATTTATTAGTATTTTTGAGGGGAGGATAGTCTGCATTACTAACAGTCTCCTTGTGTTGTCAAGTTTGCTGTGAATCACACTTGGTATTTCAAGGATTCCTTTAATTCTAAGAGAATTTTGAATTAAAATGGTAGACATCTACATGTTAACCTAGATCCATGGCATTTCACAGCCCCTCACCTCAGTTTTACTATACAGAAGGCAATTGGCTTAAATGAAGTTAGTCCTTTCCATACATCAAAGGATGGGGTAGATAGACACAGGGACAGTTCAGAGGCCATCCATGATGAGCTCCCAAAATTGATTCTTTTTAATGTTTTCCTGAATCCAACCCTCAAATAAAAATAAAAGGGAAATCTCTTCCTCTTTGACTATTTTCCATAGTTGCCAGCTTGAAGGGAAATTGGCTAATCTCACCCATGATCTCCTTTCCTGCTTCCTGACTTCCTTGGTTGATACCCAAGCACAGACTCTGACTTATGTCACTATTCCCATACAGTTTCATGATTTGCCTCATATCCAGATGGATCTGAGAAGATAAAACAGGTCAGAGAAGTCTCTCCATTCCTGCTTTACTCACCATTTCATCTTCCCTTTAGATCTCAATACATGATGTCAAGTTCATGATCATTGAAATTCCTTGAAGATGTGTTTTCCTGTGTTGCCTTGACACATGTTATATACTGCCTTATGACTCCTCCTTATGTTTTGCTACCTTTAATAAAGGGCCTCTTTAAATGGGACAGTTTCCCTGTTCTGCAGGGAAAGTCACAGGGTTGTAATGGCATTAACATTACAACCCTGCAGGGTTGTAATGGCATTAACATTTTTTAAGAGAACTGTGATTTATAAATAAGAATCAGCTGGACATGAAGGCACACACCTGTAATTCCAGGGATTTGGGGGCTGAGGCAGGAGGATCACAAGTTCAAGACCAGGCTCAGCAATTTAGCAAAGCCCTAAGCAACTTAACAAGACCCTATCTCAAAATTAAAAGGGGTGGGAATGTGTCTCAGTGGTTAAATACCCCTGGATTTAATCCCTGGTACGTATAAATAAATAATTAAATAAGAAAGAATGAATCAGAGCCACTTGATGAATGATGAATGGAAAAGATTTGCTCTAAAAAATAGAGTGAAGTATATAAAAATAAATTTTCCTTTTATGGTACTTTTGCATTGGATTGCTTTGTAAATACATGATGATGGAATATTTATTTCTAAAGCTTATTATTAAGATTTAAGGATGTCTGTGAAAGCAATTAGTTTACCTCTGTTTTCTCTGATCTTCCATTCATAGTTTACTGACTACCTTTGCTTTTAGAATGGGAGTCTAATTAAGAAAAACTTTAATTTAATCTGGATGAGGTGGAGCTGTTATCTTACAGAAATATTTCCCTTTTTCTCTTTTAGGTTGGCGATGCAAACGGTATGGTCACCGAACGGGTGACAAAGAATGCCCTTTTTTTATCAAAGGCAACCAGAAGTTAGAACAGTTCAGAGTAGTAAGTAAAACCCCAGTATCAATTCACATTTATCACACTATCAATGAGCCAGGTAGTCACCAGTGAAATGAATATTCATATAAAATACATTCCCCAGAAACATTTTTTCCAGAGCATTTCATATTAAGTTCTATGTTAAATTGCATTTGTGTGACAGATTAGTTCTTTTTTGAGAGGGTGGGTGCAGGAGATCGAACCCAGGGCCTGGTGCATAGTAGGCATTTGCCTCACCACTGTGCTCTACCCCTAGCCCCAGATTCAGTTCTTAAACAAAAAAGAACAAACAACTATTTTAAAATGTTGTTTGCTGCCAAGTTTGATAATGCACACCTGTAATCCCAGTGACTCAGGAGACTGAGGCAGGAGGATCAGAAGTTCAAAGTCAACCTCAGCAATTTAGCAAGACCCTGTCTCAAAATAAAACATAAAAAAGGGCTGAGGATGTGGCTCAGTGGTTAAGTTGCCACTGGGTCCACTCCCTGCCGTGCCCCACCCTCCAAAAATAAGCAAATAACACCTAATTCTTTTTCTTTTCTTTTTTTTTTTTTTTTTTTGGTACAGGGGATTGAACCTAGGGCACTTAACCACTGAGCCACATCCCCAGCCCTTTTTATTTTGAGACAGGGTTTCACTAAGTTGCTGAGGCTGGCTTTGAACTTGTGATGCTCCTTCTTCAAATTCTCGAGTCACTGAAATTACAGGGGTGTACCACCATAATTCTTTTTCTTAAGTAGTCATTATCTATTCAAACCCCCCATTTTTAGTTATATAAAAGGTAAGTTTTAGGGCTGGGAATATAGCTCAGTTGTAGAGTGCTTGCCTTGCATGCAGAAGGCCCTGGGTTCAATCCCAGCACCACAAAAAAAAAAAAAAAATCGAATTTTAGCCAGATGTAGTGGTATAACCCTGTAATTCCAGTGAATCTGGAGGTTGAGGCAGGAGGATTGTATGTTTGAGGCCAGTCTCAGCAACTTAGTGAGATCCTATCTCTAAACAAAAAAATACAAAGGGCTGGGAATATATAGCTCAGTGGTAGAACACCCCTGGGTTCAATTCCTCTTACCATTAAAAAAAAAAAAAAAAAAAAAAAAAAATCATGTAAAAATGAGGGACTTCATTTCCCAGTTTTTGTTTAAAGATATCTTTTAATTAAGCTAGAAGTGTGTGTATATTTCCTCACTAGATCTATTATTTCCTTGCTTTATTTTAACAGAATCACCTTCTAGAGGTGATAACTCATTGTTCAGTAACTGCTTCTGCCAAGTGGTGAATGTACTGGGGTTATCAGCATATATCAAAATGGGGTCAACAGATGTGGCTCAGCAGTAGAGACTTTGCCTCACACGGACAGGGCCCTGGGTTCGATCCTCAGCACCATATAAAAATAAATAAACGAAATAGAGATGTTGTGTTCAACTACAACTAAAAAATAAATATATATATATTTTTGAAAAGTGCGGAGGATGTAGCTCAGAGGTTTGATCTCTAGTACCCGCCCCCCAAAAAAGGTGAAAAAATAAAGTATATTTAAGTACTTGAAGCCGATTTAAATTATCTATATAAGAATATATTTGCCTTAAAAGAATATATTGCCTTTAAAGAAAACGGGAACCTTACAGTAGGATTTTTACCACCAGGTCCAATCTAGTCTCTCTTTCCAAAGGAGGTCTGCAGCAAATAGTTAGACGCATGTATTTTCAGACTTCCTTGGTGATATGTAACATGCATTTTTATGTTACTTATGTATGTATGTACTTATTTATTTTGCTGCATGGATATTGAACACAGGGCCTCATGACTCTTATGCAAGCACTCTACCAGTCCTTTTTTTTTTTTTTTCATTTTATTTTGATACAGGGTCTAGCTAAGTTGCCTAGGCTGGCCTCCCACATGACATCCTACTTCCTTAGCCTCCTAAAATGTTGAGATTACAGGCATGTGCCAGTATGCCCAGCATTTTTAACTTACAAATTACACTTCTTTTTTTTTTTAAATAGTGCTGGAGATTGAATCCATGGCCTTGTGCATGCAAGGCAAGCACTCTACCAACTGAGCTGTTTCCCCAGCCCCTAAATTACACATTTTTAACATTATTATTACAATCATTTTGTAACTCATTTATTTCACCTAATATTATCTCTTAGTCATCTATCCATGTAGACCAAAGAGAATCACCTCAATATTTCTCAATTTGAGTACTGTTTTATTATTACAAAGACCATGCCACTGTTTATGGAGTTATTTCCTGATGGATAATATGGATAATATTTAGTTATTTCCTATATTTTTCTAACAGAGAAATTCTTCTTGTAGCCTTAATGAATTTACAATGATCTGACTGTTTTTTGTTTTTTTGTTTTTGTACTGGGGATTGAATGCTTTATGACTGAGCTACATCCCTAGTCTTCTCTACTTTTTATTTAGAGATATGTTCTTGCTAAGTTCCTGAGGCTGACCTTGAACTGGTAATCTTCCTGAGTCTCTGGGATTACAGGCCTGTGCTACTGCACCTGGTGTGATAGTACAGCTGAGCACAGTGACACACACCTGTAATCCCAGCAGCTCAGGAGGCTGAAACAGTAGGAGCTCAAGTTCAAAGCCAGTCTCAGCAACTTAGCGAGTCCCTAAACAACTCAGACCCTGTCTCAAAACAAAATACAGAAAAAAGGGCTGGGGACACAGCTCAATGGTTAAGTGCCCCTGGGTTCAATTCCCAGTACCAAAACAAAACAAAACAAAACAAAAAAACTAGAACAGCCTCAGCCTTGAGTAGCTGGGAAAATAAGTACATGACACTACTTTTAGCTTCACATACAAACCAAGACAAATTGTAAAGGTGATGTCTTGGTAGATGGGGTATGAGTCTTAGTAAGAGGCTTTTTATTATATAATCTATTGTGTTTTCTGGTTTTTGAATCATGTGAGTATACAACATATTCAAAAACTAAATTTAAAAGTAAATACTGTGTTCTAGTAAAAAAATGGATTAGAACATGTTAAACAAAGCTATATCAAACAATTTTTTAAAATTGGTTTCAATTACATAATTAAAAAATTAAAAAATATTTTTAAAATATTTTTTTAGTTGTAGATGGACACAATACCTTTATTTATTTTTATCTGGTGCTGAGGATGAAACCCAGTGCTTCACACATGTGAGGTGAGGGCTCTACTACTGAACCACAACCCCAGCCCAGGACTTAATTTTTATTTAACTAGTAGTCCACAAAGCCTAACCAGACTTTAATCTTCTCTGACCCTTAAGGCACATGAAGATCCCATGTATGACATCATTCGAGAGAATAAAAGACATGAAAAGGATGTGAGGTGAGGTCATCCTGATGAAAACAACAACCTATTAAGTCTTAAATTGATTAGCATTGGAAACAGCCATTCTGATAACAGGGGGATGGTATTTTAACTGAGTGACTGTAGGGTAGATGTTTTAATCAGCTTTTTCCTGCTGTGATTAAAGGATCTGACCAGCACAATTCTAGAGGAGAAAAGGTTTATTAGAAGGCTTTCAGTTTCAGAGGTTTAGTCCATAGAAGGCTGGCTCAGTTCCTCGGACTTGAAGATGGCTGAACATCATGGCAGAAGAGTGTGGCAGAAGGAAACAGCTTACATGAGATCAGGAAGCAGAGAGAGAGAGAGACTCTACTTGCCAGATACAAATATATACCCCAAAACCAGGCCCCAATTCCCATCTCCTCCAGCCACACTCTACCACTTCAGTTAATTCCTATCAGGATTAATTCACTGATTGGGTTAAAACTCTTAAAACCCTATCATTTTTCTCCTCCAAGCCTTCTTGCATTGTCTCATATGTTAGCTTTTCTCCCATCCAAACCATAACTGCAGGAGTCACTGCTGAAAAGGCCAGTGTAGAGGAAACCAGCAGGCAAGCCTCCTCTTGGCCCAGTACAGTCACACAACTGGAAGTGATGTTGGCAATCCACACTGTGGTGTCTACACATAGTGTGCAGTTGACCATTCCATGTCATTTAGTTTATCTTCAATGTCATTGAGGATCTGAGGTGTTAAAGTGTATTCTTAGCCACAATTAAAGAGAGTGTTAAAAAAAAAAAAAAGGGTTTGTTTTCAAATTAGTTGCATTGAATTAGTTCTCAAGGAGTTGATTACTGTGAAATTGGGGGAAAGGTTAAGTATGCATCAGTTAGAAGTTAAAATTTTAAGGACTATTGGAACCTGTAGAAATATTTAAGACAATGAAAAGATAAGTATTGTTTTTAGTGAATTAATCATGATTCTTCCCCTCTTGATACTGCTTTTAAATTATGCTTACCTAAGAGATGGGGATGTTGCTCAGTGGTAGAGCATTTGTCTAGCATGTGTAAGACACTGGGTTCAATCCCCAGCACTCAAAATAAAATTATGTATATATAAGAAACCTATTGAAGTTAAAAATCACATTTCTTTGATCAATCTTATGTTTAGGATTCAGCAACTAAAACAGTTACTGGAGGATTCCACCTCAGATGAGGATGGGAGCAGTTCCAGTTCTTCAGAATGTAAAGAAAAGCATAAGAAAAAGAAGAAGAAAGAAAAGCATAAGAAAAGGAAGAAGGAAAAGAAAAAGAAAAAAAAACGGAAGCATAAGTCTTCTAAGTCAAGTGAGAGTTCAGACTCGGACTGACAAGAATTAGGTTCTCTACAAAAATCAAACACTGTGGCCAAAGAACAGAGGGAGATGTGACCCAGGAGTAACAAGTCACAGAGGACATCTGGCTTCACAGCTGTGGATTCTTACCACCTTGCCATGGTGAGCTGTCTCCACTCAGGTGCTAGGTCTGGACTGCGCTGAATTCCTCCAGGAAGGCTTATTCATTGACCCCTCCCTGCTCTTTGCTTGAGTCTATGAGTCCCTTGAAAGGCCTCCTGCAGCCTGGCAGGACAGTGGGGTATCTCTGGGGAGGTGCTTTTGGGTGTTAGCACAGCTTTTGCCCTTTGTGAGTGACTCATTTCCCACAGGCTTTAGGCTGGACTCTTCTATGTTGTTGAGTATAATAAAAGCTTATGATTTTTTAAAAATGTAGTTATTTATGAATAATATCAGCATGTGGTCCAAATTAAAAGAAAATTCTTCTTCTTTTTTTTTAATATTTATTTATTTATTTATTTTTTGGCGGACACAACATCTTTTGTTTGTATGTGGTGCTGAGGATCGAACCCGGGCCGCGCGCATGCCAGGCGAGCGCGCTACTGCTTGAGCCACATCCCCAGCCCCAAGAAAATTCTTCTTAATGCCTTTCTATCCCAGTTCCTTCCCCATTGGCTACCAATCTTACTAATTTGGTATTGACATCTTTCAGAAGTATATATCACAAATATGACTTTTTTCTTACATAAATACACCTGTGTACTGTTACTTTTTAAACTTAACAGTATGAAAGTAACTATCTTTTTTTTTACACCTTTATTTTATTTATTTATTTTTTTATGTGGTGCTGAGGATCGAACCCAGGGCCTCGCATGTGCTAGGTGAGCGCTCTACCACTGAGCCACAACCCCCTCCCTGAAAGTGACTATCTTAATACCGAGCAAATATGGCCTCACTGCTATATAAAATGTAATGCTTATAGTCACCTGACATGATCTGTTGATTTGAGGTGAGTGGTTCGTGTAACAACAATGAAAACTCTTGTGTTACTTTGTGTGGGGGGGCGGGGAGATACTGCGGTACTAGTATACTCACAGATGCTCAACCACTGAGCTACCTCAGTCCTTTTAATTTTTTGAGATAGGGTCCCACTAAGTTCCTGAGGCTGTCCTTGAACTTGGGATCCTGTCTCAGCCTCCTGAGAGCTGGGATTATAGGTGTGTTCCATTGTCCTTGACTGACTTGTTTTTAACTTGTCTGGACCTTGTGCCACTGAGATTTTCAGGGTCTTGACTCAGAAAAGATTTAAGAATGTAGGGATGCCACATACTGGCATACACCCCTCACTTGCTTCCTCCTCCTATTGTCTGAGCAGCTGTGCTCTTGTAACTTAAACTGGTTAACAGCAGAGGTCAGGTGGCACCTGAAACTAAAAGAAAAATTCGGTTCTTCACTGAGTCAAAGTGCAGCCTGCTGAAAGACAAGAGTGTCAGTCTACATCAAGCACATACTGCTGCTTTCAGCCCTGCCGCAGTCTGGCTGGGCACACAATCACGAGCCACCACACAGCTTGTAGATTCAAACAGCAACTCTTTATTCCCGAACTCACACCAGCCGTCTACAATCACGTTCTGGGGAAATCCACGTTCTCTGCCCAAATCCACCTTCTCTCCCAAATTCACCTCCACTGGGCTTCTATCTCCAAAATATACTGTCTGAATCCCGTGAGAACTCAAGGGGAACTCAGGCAGCAGGATACGCCCTATTCCCAGCAGGAATAATCTTAAACCTTAAACCTGGAACCTAAACTGGGAACGCCCTAAACAAGATTATCTTAAAACCGGGAACACCCTAATCTGCCTTGGTCCTTGAGCAAGGTCACGTACATTCAATGTCACTGCAACATGTCAGCAACATGGGGTACGCTGGCAAGGAAATTGTCATACCTACTTGGCTAATGGCTCCCAGCAAGTACTGAGAGTTAAATCAGCAGAAAAGAGGAAATTGGTTGAGAAAAGTGGTGGGATAGAAAGCCACAGGTGATAACTGAGCAGTTTGAAAGGGAAGGGGACACTGGGTATGGTGGCACACCGTTGTAATCCCATCGATTCAGGAGGCTGAGGCAGGATGATTGCAAGTTCAAGGCCAGCCTCAGCAATTTAGTGAGGCCCTAAGCAACTTAGTGAGACTTTGTCTCAAAATAAAAAATAATAATAATAATAAAATGGGGATGGAGTTCAAGGGTAGCCTTGAGTGTAATCTCCAGTACAAAAAATAAAAAAATAAATAACATTATTCTTTCCTTGTGTGGGGTAGAAAGACATAGGACAGTAGTTAACAGGAGTTGTAGGTGGTAAGAAGGGTTGTAATTTTTTTTTTTTAAGACTTAGGGATTTGTCACAATGACCCAATTCAGGCAAGATGACAAATGTCACAGACTCTTCAGGAATGAAGGTATGGGTCACACCTCCAGGTAAAGAGCCAAGACCTGCTAAGATGCTTGCTGAAGGTAGAGGGAATACAGAATGGGTAGTAGAAGAAGGTAGTTATAAATACTAACTACAGCCATATGACCAGTTACAGAAACAAGGATTGTAATTACCACTGATAATTCTTCCCTATTCCATTCAGAATATTTTTGGCATATTTCCACATTCATTAAGAGGAAATTATTATTACTCTCCTGTTATTCATCATGTAATGTAATTTTGATTGACTTAACATCAGCAATGTTTTTGTTTTTTTCTATTCTTTTTCCTCTGGAGAAAGAACTAGTGCATTGGTTGATAGTTATGTTGGGTGGAATTATGACCTCAATATTGTGTTTATTTGGAGATTAAATATGATGTTAAGATTCATATTTGAATATCAAGTTGAAAAGGGGTGGACTTGTACTAAGTAACTTGAATCCTCAACTTGATTGGTTGCAGGGATTGGGAGGATTATGGGTGTGTCAATGAGGCTGTGTCTAGGAATGATTGGCATGTGGAAGAGCTAACTGAAATGGAGACCCTCCCTAAGCATGGGCAGCACCGAACAATAGGTTGATGGCTTGGATAGAATAAAAGTTGGAAGAACAAGGAAACAGGAGCAGAATTCAAGCAAGATTCTTCTTCAATGGCTGCTACCATCATCTGAGGATATTGGACTCTGACAGTGATTCTCTAGAAGGCTTAGGTCTCAGACTAGGGTAGCACTGTTGATCCCCCTTTTTCTAAGGCTTTAGCCTCTTGGACTGTGCAGCTACTGGTTCTTCCAGCTCTCCAGCCTGCAGATGGCCAACCTAATAACTCCCCCTTTTTATAATTATACTTACATTATGGCAAGATTGCAATAAATCACCGAGTGGATCTTAAAAAAAAAAAAGAAAAAGAAAAAAAAAAAGATTTAGGAATTTGTATTTCCCAAAGGGAGTGAGAATAAATGTTTGAGTGGGTATTCTGAGGAGGCAGGAAAGGAGCCTAAGTGCAGCAATTTTTCTTGGTCAGAAAAAAGTCAGATGTTTGAGACTAGTGGGAAATGCAATCCCCAATTCAGGATTTTTTTTTTTCTTCAGTACTGGATTGAACCCAGGGTCTTGCTCTTTTTATTTTATTTTTTATTTATTGGAGATTGGGGAAGAGGGGATATGGCCAGTGTGTCATTGGGGGGTTCTTCTTCCTGCCACCTGAAAACTTAAAGTCTAAAATAATTAGTGAAGAACAAAACACAGAGTCAGAAATATATTTACAAAAGACCTAAGCAATCTCATTCTACTTGGGACCTCATTTTGCTCTGAAACTTAACCTCTGACCTACTGCAGTCCTAAAGTCAGGAAAATACCACAGAAAAGCTCTGTGGAAACAGTTCTCGGAAAAGCCGCAGATGGTGATTGCCTAAGATAGGCCAAGATATCGAAATATCTGAGATTCCAGATGGCCCCCACCTAGGTGTGGTGACCAATATCTAAACTAGAAGCCCTGCAGTTTGGCACGTACCCCCCTTGCGACATCCTCACGATTTAAACCAATCAACTTTAAGTCAACCCCTTGAACTAACGAATAATTCTTTCCAGATTCTTTCCCTCCACTTGATATGCTAATCATGTTTTAGAGTTGTTGTTTGATTTTCCCTTGGTGTGTGATGATTTGCCAAGAGATGCTATGATGCATGTGGGGGTCCCTGCCTTCTCCAAAGAATGTATAATACTACTGCAAACCCTGGGCTCCAGGCCTCTCAGTGTCACTAGTTGCTGTGTGCAGGCACGCAGAGGACCGAGCTAGCTCGAAATAAATGCCTCTTTGCTGCTTACATTGATCTTGGTCTCTGGTGGTCTTTTGGGGGTCCCGAATTCGAGCATAACAATACATCCAGTCCACACAAGAGCTGGAACTAAACAAGGGAAAGATGCCCCCCCCCCCCCCCCCCCCCGTGATTTATTTAAGGAGGTACATCAAAGGCAGAGATAAGGTTCCAAGGGCGGAGTCTTGCTTCATAATGTCTTTTAGTCAGCAGGCTGATTGGCATCTTGGCAGCTCACGCCCATCTCAGATGCTGTGTGGGTCTCGACAGATCGGGATAGAAATTCACAATGTCCCTGGTCAATTGACTAGAGAAAATGTCCACTGATCATTTCCAGACACCAGATGTTTCTATCCACTAGGCTTCCATGCATGGTGACCCACATGGAACCCATGGATGGGCTTACAACGGTGTGTGTGTGGGGGGGGGGGGGTGTTAGACCAGGACGCAAGAAAAGACCACTGACTCCAATTAAAATCAAATTAAAGCAAGCTTATTATTTCGACTGGCCAGGCTGCCTCTCCCACCCAAAACCTCGGGAACAAGACAACAGCCGCAGCTTTCCTGCAGCCCAGCTTTATAGCCCAGAAAGTTACACAAAGGGGGGTTACAGATAACAGAACTCTGAGGAGCATAACACTAATGGTAGTTTACATTTTTGCTGGCCCCAATATCAGAATTTATGAAGGTTATTAGAGCCTCAGAAAGGGTTGTTATCTGGCCAGGGAAGACCAAGATTTGTGAGGCGTTACTAAAGTTTCAGAGAGGGCTGCTATCTGGTCAGAGAGCCAGGCATGGGTGAGTTCAGGGCACGGGCAGGCATTCCAAGCAGGTTCAGAATTTGCAGTAATTTATAGTAAAGCCGAAATTATCTTTTCATGGCTTTGTGGCAAGATGGCTCCCAATTTTAAGAAAAGATCAGGTTGGGTCTATCAGGGGGATTGAACTGAGGGGCACTTGACCCCTGAGCCATTTATTTTGAGACAGGATTTTGCTAAGTTGCCCAGATTGGCCTCTATCTTGCCATCTTCCAGCCTCAGCCTCCCAAGTAGCTGGAATTGCAGGTGTGTGCCACTGTGCAGAGCCCCAATTCAGAAATCAAAGTGTATTAGCATCTGATGACCTTTTATTCATTTCCCCTGGGTAGATG